ACTTCTTGAGTTGCACAACCTTTCCTCCACATGCTTCCAAGGAATGTTGACTCAGCCCTTGTCTGGTCCGCTTGGCCTGCAGGAAGGTCTCTAATGGTTTGGTTCCGCTTAGCATTTTTTCTAGTGACCTGTATGAAGATGGCAGGATTGCTTATCACATTTCACATGACACAGCATAGAAGGCGAGCTGATATTTTGGGTGGAAGGATCTGAATTTGGAAAGCTCTCGGTGGCCTGGAACAATGGACTGAAACTAGAAAGATACAATTAGTAAGGGCAGTGGAGTCTTCCATTCAGCGTACACACGTGCCAGTGTAAACCAGAGGACGCTGTGAGCCAGAAATCCTCAGGTCGTTTTGCTTGTGGATGGGGGGTGTTTTCTGTTTGTTTGTTTGTTTTTCGTTGGGGTTTTTCATTTGTTTATTTTCACTCGGTTTAAATATATGCTTCACAGATAGCCCCAGAGCTAAAACGGGCTAAAGCACGTATTCACAGACACGTGTGTGTTTGCACATAAAGCAAATAGAAGCTTTGCTGATGTTTTAAAGTGCAGGATCCAAACCAAAAGAAGTAATAATCTCATTCTCATTTGGACTACATCTTAAGTGTTCTCAGTTCCAAGTGCCATTCTTTGAGGACGCTGGCAAACTAGAAATCCCGCAGAGGGCCCTTCCACGGTATTTGGTGCTTAGTTAATAAATATTTGTTGAATGACGGTGCCTTGAGTGGTTAGGGATGGCCCCCCAGGCCCTGTGAAGAACAGTTGAAAGGACCAGGGAAAAGGAAACATTGAGATAGCTCTTTTCAAATATTTACAGAGCTCTCAAGCAGAAGAGAGTCTGGATTTATTTTACGTTTTTCCAGAGGATGGATCAAACACACCAATTGAAGAAAGAATTTCCCAGAGCTATTCTTCAGTGGAACAGGCTGACATTAAGTTCCTAGGACAGTGACTGTCTATGGCGGTCCATGCAGCAGAGGCCAGGCATCAGATGTTTGCTGGTCACCCAATATGAGGTGGACACACTTGGGGGACCGCTGACCTAATGGCTTTTCAGCCCCATCCAATGCTGACCTGCTTCCCCTAGGTCCACAGCAGTCGTGGCTTTGCACGATCAACGTTAAAACAGAAACTATTACTTAAAAAAAAAAAGTTTAATGGAAACTTGTGAGGAAAATGCCTCAGAGTTCAGGAGCGCCAAGAATTTTTAGCATTCCTTTTTCTCCTCATCTTATCCTTTTGTCAGCAGCCTTATAAATATTCATAAAGGAATTGACCCCAAATGAGAGAAATCCTAAAAATCTTTCTAAGCCTTTCAGTTTTGTTATCTTGTAACAAGTAATTATTTGAATATAATCTCTAGTCAGTTATGTTATTATAAAACTAGTAAGTGATCAGTTTGGGGGGTTAGTTTTTAAGAATTTAATACAGATTTTAAAAAATCTTTCGATCTGGTGTAAAGGAGTTTTTGACTAGACATTCTCTATTAATCTCAAATCCAAAGTACCTGCCGGTCTTAGAGCTGTCAAGCTTCAGCCTCTCTCTTACCCTCTCGCCTCCTGCAAATGAGAAAGCTCGAAGCATAAACCCAGGCCTACAGCCCAGACAGCGACTGTAACATAAAACAGCAGACAGGTGTTCTACGCGGGCAGGAATTGGGGTGGCCCCCTCAAACTGTGAGGACAGGTTTGAGGGAGGTCTGTTCTCTGTGGGAGAAGCCTGGTTGACTCTGTGGCCACGGGCAAGAGGACCTGGGAAGCAGTGACAGGTCCAAGAGCATTGAGCTTCCCTTCTGCCAACCTCCTGCTCTTCTTCCCTGTAGACCAGGTGGTAGAGGAGCCACTGTTTTTCTTCCCACATGATCACCTTTTGTTCTCTTTGCCACCCACACAGAAAATTCCCCTTCCTCTTTTGCCAGAAGTCCCCTTTTCTTCATCGAATGTTTTCTAGTCACCCAATGAGAGGTGGACAATGATGGTCTCATTGCACACTCTTCAACTAGAATGAAAAATTCCCACAGCTGAGCCCTGACAGCACATTTCTTTGGCATGTTTTCTGAAAAAGTCTGAGACTGATGTTAGGGCCACTAGCTTGATATGATCTTGGGAAAGTAACTTAACCTCTCTGTGCCTCAGTTCCTTCATCTGTAAGACAGGGCACTGCAGGGTCTTTGAGAGATTTTGGATACGGTAAGTACCAAGCCCAGTGTCTGGCACGTAGAAGCTGCTTCGCAAATCACAGCTGCTATAATTACTGTTAGCTGTCATTAATTTATACAGACTCTAAACAAATTGCCGGTTTTAACTTTTGGATACTGTATTTTATACTTTATAACTCAAGACTTTCTAACTATGGATGGAAGTCCACTTACCTTTATATGCTGAACTGCCCTTAGGATTCAGAAAGATGGAAGGGGAGAGGGTATTGTTCTTTCTCTCTTTGCTTATAGTTATTCCCCTTGTCATTCAGTGGGAAAGAAGGCTCATATTTCATTGAAAACCAACATTGGCAGGACAGAATAAACCTTCCTTTTCCATGGTTGTCATTTCTATTTTTAATTTTTTGTTCCTGAGGATAAACAGAAACTAAAATATAGTACTAAAATGTGCAGTTGGGGGTTGGTCCTGTCGGTGACAACTCTAAGGTGAGTGTGTGTCTTTCAGAGCTGTGGGAACCTGGACTTCATGCTCCTGAAATTCTCTGCCCCACGAGGATTTGATTGCCTGGGCTTGTGGTGGAGTGAGAGAGCAGTTTTCTCACTACCTTTGCAAACCTGTTGAGAGTGCTCTTAGTCTATCATTGATGAGCTCTAAGTAATTTCCAGTCATTGCTACTAGAGCTGCTGCCTTCTGCCGCCTCTTTAATTCCAGACTCCTGTGCCCCTGTCTCAGCTGCTGCCTCCTCTCTGGGCCTGTCTTCTCACTGCCCACACTTCCTGCTCCACGTGGGGGTCCCCAAGCCCTGTTCCTGCTTTATCGGGGCCTTTCTCATGCCATTTCCCTCCTCTTCCTTGAGTCGTGTAGCCTGAAGTCTTAAGGGTCAAGCTGATAAGGAGCTTATGCTTATTGTATAACTGACTTCAAATATTGGCTGGTTGACATTTGGTCTATAGCATTGGAGCTCAACCTTGCCTACACACTGGAATCACCTGGAAGGCTTTCAAAAAAAATCCTGAGTCCCACCCCCAGAGGTTCTGATTTATTTGCTCTGAGATGTGGCCTGGGCACTGGGATGTTTTAAAGCCCTTCCAGATTCAGTATGCAGCCAAGGTTGAGAACCACTGGTCTACAAACTCACTCAGTCCCCAAGCTGGGGCTGTGTTCTAACGATAGCTTTATTTGTTCCCCAAGTGACTTGCATAGCAGTGTTTAAAATAGTTTACGTGAGTATATACAACATCAAAGTGGCTATTTCCACTTCATGTTAATTTGGTGGATTTGGGGGGAAGGAAATAGAACCGTTCCTATTTTGAAAATTCAATTCCTAGAATACCTCTGGGCTTGCTTGGCAGCGGTAGCAGAAACAACTAGCATTTATTGAGATCTCAGCATGTGCCAGGAACTGTGCTAAGTACTTCTTAAGCTCTTCACATTCATTACCCCTTTTTAATCCTTGCAACAATCCCACGAATGAGCCCCAGTTTGGGGCCTACTTGATTAGTGAGGATCCTGAGGGCCAGAGAGCACATCCCAGGGCCCTGCAGAAAGCAGCGCGGAGCTCTCGCTCGGGCACATCTGGTGCAAAACTTCACTGATTCTGTAACCCCTGGGAAGAAAAATTCAGATAACTCCCTAAGGATGTACCTGCTTTACGCTGGAGTTGCACGCTTTTTAAATTGGGTTTCATTCTTTTATATTTCAGGAGCTTCCATAAGTTTGATTTCAAGTTCACTCCCAAGTTGCCTAGGTGTATTCAGGACTGGCAGGCCTTTTCTTAAATGAGTTTTTTCCATATACTCAGGAGACATTATTTTAGAAAAGCATCTATTTCTAGCACCTAATTCAGCAGAAGCTGCCTCATCTTTTACTTAGTCCTACTAATAATTTCTTTGAAGTGGTGAACGAGCAGTGCTAGCCCCATTTTGCAGAAAGGGGAATTGGTATGCCAGGTGTTAGTTATCTGCTAAATATTAGCAACAGCTGCCACTATTGGGCTCTTGCAGAGTGCAGGCTCTGCACTAAGCTCTTTGTGCCCTGTGCAGCATCCTCATTTTACAGATGAAGAAACTGAGACTGAGAAAAAGGTAAAGCTACGTGCTTAGGATGACGCAGCTAATGATCGGGCACCATGTTTGTTTGCTTGTTTGGTTTTTAACTGGCTTATGAGCAAAATCGCAGGACATGGGCTCCATTTGCTCTCTCCCCTTAACCTTACCAGCCTCAGCTGTGTAGGTGGTGGCATCCGAACAGTCACGTCTGGAATAAACCACTGAAGCATAAACTGGATTTTCTTCCTGTGTGTCTCGTGGTCGTTTAAAACCTATTGTGAAACAAAGAATTTCTGCCAATCTTGAATATCATACTGAGGTCAAACAGGCTCTAATGATTCCTTCCCCAGACATCCCAATGCAAGGCTGCTTTGGTGCAAACAACCCCTGAAGGTGAGAACTGGGTCTTGGAGCAGTTTCACACTCCATCCATCCCTGAGCTCTGTTTCTCACAATTTTGGATAAGTGATGTGAATCCAGTTGCTGTTGCTGAGTCACTTCATTATTACCCAGACAGTGAGGGCAAAAACCCTGTCCCCTTCTCACTAATTATGCATATGCCAACTTATTTTCTCCCTCTTCAAGCGCATAAAGACTTGATATTTTCTGGTTTGGTAAAATACACACACACGATTCTGTAGGGAGAGTAGCTCTGTATAAAGGAGGTAGGTAGGCAGTGTGGTGAGTGGATGGGGTCGCAGGGAAAACGAGGTCCCTAGCAGCCCGTGTCAGGTTAACGGGTCACTAATTGAGTGCAAACCTTTTTTTAAAATGTTGTTTATCCCCCTACAGGGCGTACAAAACCATTGAGGATGAGGACTTGAAGTTCCCCCTTATATATGGAGAAGGCAAGAAGGTAGGCACGTGTGCTTCCCCTGGGTGGAGCGGACAAGGCTCTGTCACACTGCTGCCGCTCCGTGTACACGGCGGCAGTCCGTGTGTTCCACTCAGCAGCTCCCGATTCTGTAGTCTTGACAGCTTGAGAGCATGTCCCATCCATCATCCTTCAGGCCTCCTGTCTCGAGGGTCCAAGAAGTGGGGTGGGGGCTGGCGGTGAGCACAGGGACCAAAGTCAATTTGGCGAAAATAATGTCCCCCTTCCCAATCCGTGTGAATAACTTTTTGCAGCGTTTAAAAGCGACCACGTGCACATGCATCATCTCATTTTATATCTGACACCAAGCAAGGAGGCAGGTCAAGCAGGCTGTACGATATCCATTTGGCAGACGAGGCAGCTGGGACCGAGAGGTTCAAACGTCTCGGGCAGATCATGTGACCTGTGAGAGGCAGCCCCAGGATGGAGCCATGGCTTTCTGGCTGCTTCTGGTGTGCCCAGACTACACCGTGGAAAGCTCAGACTTTGTAAAGTCTGCTTTGGAAGGGACTCCAAAGCTTCGCTGTAATTATAGGATCACATGACCCAGAGCCCAGGCCGAGGTAACAGAGACCATCGTCAGCTCCTGGGGCCCCGGTAAGAGTGAGGGCAGCTGTAGATTCCCACAGTGGTCTGCAAACAGAGCCCCGGTGGAGGCTGGATCCTGGCGAGAAAGCTGGGACACCGGTTCCCTGGAAGAACAAACACCTTCTGAATCACTGTGCTTCCTTCCTGGGGACACTAATACGTTTCAACTCGGTGTGAAGAGTTCCAGTTAGAAGTGAAAATGTGATCATGTTGAGAAGAATCTTTAGCTGGAATTTTTTTTTTTAGTATTTGATAGTTTTTATCAAGAAGAAATGACTCCCAGGACAACAGAAGGACGTCATCCATGGGCATGGACACAGTGTGTGTGTGTGTGTGTGTGTGTGTGTGTGTGTGTGTATGTGTGTGTGTGTGTGTGAAAGAGAGAGAGAGATGAGAGACAGACACAGAGGGAGAGAATGGAGAATGCTTGGGCACAGGCACATGGGATTGGGTTTGGGGCTCTATGTGGCCCAGACGTGATTTCAGTGAAAGGAGGCATTTCATGGAGGGAAATAAAGTACAAATAGCTGATCTATGTGGAGAGCAGTTTTTAAACCAACATGCCCCATTCATGGAGATGAACACCTTCCAAGTCACCATCTTTGGTTGAGAATCATGACAGGGACGTGATTTCAGAAAAGTGGGCACCATTAATGTGTACCGTTCAGCCCAGCGACCTGTGTCTGCATTCCCAGTTCTCAGTACCACCTTGCTCTACCCAGGGAGTTCCAGTAAGCTCGGGAGCGCGGCCTGTTATCTTTGTATACCCAGCACCTGTCCAGCCTGGTGCCTGACACATGGCAAATCTTCACCAAATGCATAAATATTGAACAAGCTATTTGGTTATGTTCAGTAAACTTTCCTTAGTACAACAGTAAAATGGACTGATGCTTCTTAGAAGTTTACCAGCAGTAAGATTTAAAGGAGCAAGGATTTTCTCCGTTAAGCAAAAAGCTCAATTGACAAAACATCATGTTCCTCAAGCATTTCAGTTAATTAAGGCTTCACAGTCCCATGATGAGCAGGTGGCAAGTCCTGTCATTGTACCTGGTGGCCTATTTTAAAAGCCACGTGTCTCCACCTTGCTTTTATCGGCAGGCTTGCCCTGTTCCCAAGTAGCATACCAGCCCTGTGCGGGACCCCACGATTTCGTGGGGTTCTGTCTAGCTCCTTTCCAGGGGTTTTCCTGTGCTTCTCTGCATACACCTAACCCAGAAGTTTCAGAGTGCTTTCGTGGCGATGACTTTCCATTTTATTTCCAAAAATGTTTTTAAGGACTTTCGTGGGTGGGTAATGCTTGTATACTTTGTAAACAAGTTCAATCACTAGCAGAAACATCAGATTTCTTTGGACCAAAACGCAGATACGTGCTTTCTCCAGCCAGAGAAGACGCCATTGCAGGGAGAGAGGAAGGCCCTGGGGGAGTTGGGGTTTTCACATTTAGAACTGAACACTTCTTAGCTAGAAAGGAGTCAGTCCTGCCTCCCGGCAGAGCCGAGGGTTTCTGCAGCCTGCCTGACCAGAGGGCCTGGGCTACACATCTTGTGTCTGCATTTCATCCCTGTTGACTCTTGCCCTCAAAAACATGTCATATTTTGTTTCTACTTTGATGTTCGCTCTGCCCGCCTTCTGACTGAGACCAGCTCCATGGTGCGCAGCCCTTTTGAGAGACTGGGACGGAGATGAAGACAATGTGTTAGACTGTCATGGTTCTGAGTACTTACATACTGCATCCTTGCCCCTGGGAGGTACTCTCATTACCCAAGTAATCAAGTGAGGATTCAAGCTCAGCTCTTTGAGCCATGACACTACATGGGGTGCATTACTGGTGACCTAAGAGTTAGGACACAGGGCTTCCCTGCACCCAGAATGACTTTCACACCATCCCTCTGTGTGTCTCGATACCGTTCATCTTTCCGTGCTAAGTGTAGCGCCACCTCCACAGAGAACCTCAGTGGAATTTTTACCTCCTCTAAGCTCATATAACCCATAGTTTGTGTGTCTTTCAGCACTTAACCATATTTATGTTATTAATTATACATGCCCCTTTTGTCTCCTTTACCAAGTTCCTTTAGAGTGGGGACAAGGCCTTAGACGTTTGTGCCCCCCACCGCATGGTGTCTGTATACAGTAGGTGCCCAGTAAACATTTGGGTAAATCAAATCTGTGGCATCCCAAGAGATACTTAGGCTGACTGTGTAGGCATTAGTAGAATAGTGTTGCTTTCTTAAACCATTCAGAAGACAGTCTAGGGAAAACATGAGACTTCAGTGACATTCTGTTCCTTTCCACTCAGTGGGAATTTGTGGGGATGTCAACAGGATGGGTTGCAGAGTGGCTAATGGCTTCTTTTCTGTAGCCATAAAACATGATAGGTGAGCTCTGAAGGGGCAGGAGCTGCCTCTGACTTTTTACATTTTTGCTAGTGTCTCTCTTGGGACTGGTGTTCAGCAAATACTTGTAGAGTGAGTATATAATAGAGAGGTGGTTAGGTGGGTGGATGGGTGGATTGATCCTATTGGATTTGGTATGAACTAATGTCAGTAGCTACAGGCATCACACATGCACTGGAGTTGGTTTATTGGACACCCTTCCCTGTGGTCTGCAAGAAAGAAAGCTGAAAAGAAACAGCAGCAACCCATCAAGCTTCAGATAATGGGCAGAAAAACCACTCCTCAAGATCAGAAGTGATTTCAGTGGGCACTTTCTTGGTAACAACGACCCACATAACTGAGCAGCAAGAGGCGTGGAAGGATGGGCAGGAGGAGTTGGAAAATTCTTTCATCGCTCTTAGCCAGCGGCTGCTGTGCTGTGGTGGGACGCCTTCTCTGTGTGTGTGAGTGTTTCTGATGACCCTCTGCTTCTGTCCCTAGGCCCGGGTAATGGCAACTATTGGAGTGACCAGGGGACTTGGGGACCATGACCTGAAGGTGCATGACTCCAACATCTACATAAAACCATTCCTGTCTTCAGCTCCAGAGGTACCACATGAGGTTTTTGTTTATATTTCGTGTAATAACGTATTTTCTACACTGTTCCTCCCGTGACCATGTCCAGACGGAAGCCAGCTTGTGCCACCATGTGCTTCTGCGGCATCTCTCATCCTGTCGTTTTCCCGCTCCCTTCTCACTCTGACTATCCTGGTTCATACCCTTATCACCTCCTGCCCAGAGGGCCAGTCCATCAATATTGCTGTCAGGTGACTTTTCCTGAAGACCTACTCTGACTCCTAGTTGCTCAGAGACCTTCAATGGCACCCCCTCCCCCCAATCCCCTGCATGGAAAATAAAGCTTAGACTCCTTCGTTTGGCATTCAAGGCTTATTATAATTTGGTCTGGCTTTTGAATCTGCTCTTCGTTCCTCTGCACCAGCCAGAATGAACTTGTCAATTCCTGTACATGACCTTCAGTTTCCCATATTTGCTTAAACTATTCCTTTTGCCAATAATGCCCCTTCCTCCCCATCTCCAAGCATCCAAATTCTTATTTTTCTCAAGAGTTTAGCCCAGATGCTTTTCCTATGGAGACTTCTCTGATCTCCCCCTCCCCTAGCTAGAAGTCCTGTCTTTCCCTACCCAGAATATACATAGAGCAACTTCCTTTTACGGCGTTTTCACCGTCTGCCTTAAATCACAGTTATTCGTGTGTACCTTATCCCCTTGTTAGATTTTAATTACCTGGAGAGCTTGTATCATTCAGCTGATATTTGGAGAAATTAATTTAAAAACAAGTTGGTCATATGTTTGGTTTATAAAAAATCATATTTCTTATACAGGCAACAATATCAAGTTCTATGTTGACTTTCAGGGTGTATGTTTAGGAAAGATTTTGCTTCCAAGCTGCAGAAAAATCTGATAGTCATTTAGGGGTAGAGTTTACTCACATAGCAAGAAAGCTGGAATCTGGTGGCTGCTAGAGCTGGTTCAGCACCTCAAATGTGCTAGGGCTGTGGCATCTCCGGATTTCTCTGACTCTTCCTTCATGGTTGCAAGGTGGTGGTGGCAGCTCCAAGCCTAACATGTTCATGCAAGACAGGAAGGAGGGGAAGGCTCTGTCCCAGCAGCTACTCACTTGCATTTTCTTGGCCAGCATTGTGCCACGTGACCTGCTAGCTGTGAGGGAGGTTGAGAAAGTGAAAGCTTTAACTTTTCTGATTTCTGTAGTCTAGGGGAACCAGGAGGAGTGAGTCAGAAACGGGGTGGGAAACCTGCAGCCTCGGGGTTTTCTGGGTCCTTCAGTGTGGACTTTTGACCAAATTTGTTCTGTAAGGTTTGGATTCAACCTAGGGGACCACACTTGGGGATTCGGAGGGCCACATGTGGCCTTGGACCACAGGTTCCCCACACCAAAGTGCTTTATGGGAGAGTGATTCTGGAGTTAAGGCAGCCCTGAGGAGCATGGGCAGCAGGGGTATCAGCCTTCACTGGGGAGTTCTGCCATTGGTGCGGCCAGCCTCATTCTCCATGGCTCTGCTACCAGTCAACCTGGCTTCTCACTCTCCTACTACCAGATTTCTTGAAAGGAGTCTGATTGGCCTAACTCACCTTTTATATTAGGCCACAAGCAACTCCCCAGACTATGAATTGGATTGTCCCTTCAGCGCTTATGTCCACTTCAGTACCCTCTATGGCCACCTAGGCCCACCTCTTTGGCAGGGCTGTGAGCAGGGGCAGTTTCCTTAGAGTCCTTGAGAGCTAGGGCTGGCATCCAAAATCCATCAAGACACAGGGGCTAAAAGACCACTGAGAGAAAAATCTCTAGTAAATATTAGGTGTGGAAGATACATTTCCTGATATCACTCAAAATTTCAAATGCAGTCAGTTTTGGTAGAAATAAAAATTAACCCTTTGTCACAAACTTGCAAGTGTCCTCTCTTTGAGCCTTCATTGCAGTTCTGCAGGACGAAGACCATTACTACATAGGGCATCCAAAAGTCCCTCTCAGAAGCTGGCAGATTACTGGTCTCTTAATATGTCCAACATTGGGATCCGTGAAGAAGCTAAAACTGCTTCTCACCAGAGGAAAACAATAGATACTAGACCTGAGACTCTTTTCTTTGAACTCCACCAAGCAGAAGGCTTGCAACTGGACTGATGAACTTCTATATTCTTCTCCTTGGGGGAGAGGCATTTATCTGACATGTTAAATGGTGTCTTCACCTTTCTACTTTCCAGAAGTATCCCTGGGGGTCTCAGGAAATACTAATTAACCATTTTGCTCCTTGAAGCAGAGTGAAAACCTCCTTCTCACCTCTCTCTTCCATGTACACATGCATTTACTTTTTATGTAAAGAGCTGCTCAGTTTGGTTTGAAGGAGAATGATCTCTTGGCAGTTAGATTTTAGATCTTCCAATTGCTCTGCTCCTATTGATGCCAGGCAGAGACTTTAGGTTTAAAACTTGGGCCTGCATGGAAGACTCCCTGAGAACAGAGTCAGAATCCCAGTTGGTCGATTAGAAACTTCAGGTCACCTACCTGGAATGATATAGTTTGCAAGGCAGTGGGTTGGTTGCTTCAGCCTTGGTGGGGGTGGGGAGATTTAGAAGGAAACTGTCAACCTCTGCAAAAATTTAAATGCTCTTAGCAAACTTGTGGGGTTGAATAAAGTGTAAAAGTTGTTATAATAATAACAATAACAACTAATATTTATTAACTACTTAGTCTGAGCCAGACAACTATTGATTATTTTTAGTCAACAAATAATAATTGTATATATATTTTTTATGGGGAACAAAGTAATGTTTTGATATTTGTTTACACTGTGGAATGATTAACTGAAGCTAAGTAACATATCCATCACCTCACATACTTACCTTTTTTTGTGTGGTGAGAACATTTAAAATATACTCTTAACAATTTAAAAATATGTAATATTAATACATTATTATTAACTGTAGTCACCATGCTGTACAATAGAGCTCTAACACTTATTCCTCTTAACTGAAACTTTGTACCCTTTGACCAACATCTTCCTATCTTCATCCAACATTGCTAAGGCTTTTGCACGAAATATCTCATTTAATCCTAACAACTCTGTGAGCTGAGTATAATTATTATACCCATTTTACAGATTGGAAAATTGGGACCCAGTAAATTAAAATACTCCCTTAAAGTATTAAGTACTTAAAGTTATTAAGTAACAAGTCGGTGCTTGTACCAGGCCTGTCTAATTAGATCAGAGTCTGCAGAGGAGAGAGGCTGAGTTCAGGGAAGTTTTTCTGGTCAGTGTCTTGGGACCCACCAACTACTAGCTCATGGGGCTCTTGAGCAGGGCACCTTCATCTGGAACTTAAGACAGCAACTTTGTCTTGGGACCTCAGTTGGCCAAGAGTTTCTGAGAAAAATACTGTTGACCTCGAACTGGAGTTGTGGAAAAGGATGGTGTAGTGGGAAGGGTAATTGGGAAAGAGTGTAATGACCTTTTGTGTGTGCGTAAACCTAGGCCAGAAAGAATTGTGCAAACTAAAATTGTGCACCTATAATTTAGCTTAATGAGTATGTAGTGTGTATGCTAAGATTCTCTTGCACGAGATTATAATTGTTGTACATTTTAAATGCTTCCAGATGGACAGGCGTCATCCAGAGCCAGGAAGCAGGGGAGGGGGGTGCTGTCAGAAGGGAAGAGGAGCAGCGGCTTGAATTGGCTACTATGGAGAACAGAAGAAAGATTACAGGGTCAGAGAACCCTCCAACCACAGTTTTGGGGGCAGAAACCCCTTTTCCCTGAGTGATAGTGATAAAATCATATGCAGTAGAAATGGTTAGGGGGCTTCTCTTGGGAGCCTGGAAAGTCAGGTTAATTTATTTAGACCGTCAAAGGAAGGACACTGACTCCCTTCCCATCTTCGCTCCCCTGCCCCCACCCCAGCCTTCCCTCCCTCTCTAACTGTGACTTCCTAAGAACATTCCCCTGCTATGGTCTGTCTTTGCCAAGCAGGGATCTTTATTTCACATTTGGTTTCTAAATTTCAAACCCAGCCCAGTCTGGTAGTTTTAACAGTTGGGGGGCGGGGTGGGGGAAGTATAGAATGTGATTTAGTTCTAAGAAAAAGGGCTCAAAAATCTTCTTGGAAATCAGCAATTGTTCCCATTCATCATTGTAGCTCCTAATTCGATTTGATGAGTTAAATATGAATAAATCAAAAACATGTGGATTGAATTTACATAAAAAATGCACAGAGGTTTAAAAATTAGAGAAAGGTTTCTAGCCAAACACATTTTCGTTTTTGCTGAACACAAGGCGCTGGAAAATTCTCGAGTTTGCCAAACCCGAAGAGCAGCCGCCAGGTTTGCTGAGCCTCCCTCAAACCTTCCAGAGTCTAAGGCAGGGATTTCTGGCCAACAACTGAATTCCACGGGAGGCCCCGCCAACTGAGCGGTTAGCTAGAGGCTACGGTGGAGCGTAGGGGACAGTTTGACTCTCCTTGGGTCTGTGGGCACCTGGTTTTCTCTGCATGACAGGATAGGATGCAGTCTTTCCCCCAACGTAAGGACAATGTTCCCTGCCAGGTCCCCCATCCTCTTGCTCCATGAAGCTCACTATTAAACATTTTTATACCATCCTGAAAGAGTTCACATAGAGAAGGAAAGGATTTGTTAGCTCAAAGGGACTGGAGCCCAGGCTAACAAATTCTTCTTTTCCAGCAATTCTCCCTCCCCCAGCCCCATGCACACATCGTGTCAGATAACTGGGGCAGCTTGGCAGAGGCCTGCAGCCTGAGCCTCCAGATGTTTTCTGCTCCACGCCCCTTCCTGGCCTGCGACAGGCTCTGCGTAGAGCTAGGTTTCTTCTCAGTTTCACCCTTCCTTCCAGCCTCCATTCAAAGACTCTGCTGTTGCCTTTACCCCCATTTTGGACTCTTGGAAGAACAAGGCCTTTTTCTGTTTGGGGCCAGTTTGCAAAGCCAACTGCCACCTCAGCTCAGCAATCCCCTCTTCCCACCCCCACCAGACTGAACCACGAGGAACCCAAATGTCTCTC